CCAAAATACATCCCACACTCTATCAACATCAAAGCAACTATAGACTTCACTTAAATCTGTAGAGGAAAGTACCCTATACAAATTGGACAGATTCTGTTCTGTAAAATTTCTCTTATACACAACTACTGATTGCTTGCTTATATTTACAGGTATATCCGGAAAGTGAGACTTAAACATTTGAATTTTATGGTCAGAAATACAAATTTCTAAATTGACACCTGCGGTACCAGGTACATTTGAAACGACATAATCGCATGCAGACTTACAGTTATTGAAATCTCTAGTAGGCTCCAAAGGTAGTGCATGATGCAAATCAAAGCTGCTAAAAAGATCATATAATAATGTCTTTGCATTAGACTCAACTAGTCTATCAATATTCAAGTCACCGGTAACTATCATGTGACTACAGTACTTACTTACACTACACAATATAGCATTTAATGTGTCTAAAAACATCATTAGTTCTGCCTTTGGAGATCTATAAATAGTTAATATAGCTATTTTTGAAAACTTATAACTAACGCAGACACCCGAGCACTCACAGATAAAATCAGTTGACATTTCTTGAACTTCGGGTATGGGCTGTACATATGTTATACCATTACGTGAATAGATGGCTGATCCTCCATGTATTGCTGAAGATCTGCTGTAGTGAGATAAGACAGAGTAGCCGGGTATTGTTGTTACTTCTGATTGTGCCAAACACATCCAATGTTCAGTTATTAAGAGAAAATCTGGATTTTCCTCTTTTGTAAGGATTTCTAATCTCTTGATTTTATTTGACATACCCTGTATATTGACGTGAATGCACTTAATGGCATTTTTTGCATAGTGTTGTTGAGGGAAGTCTTTCTGTGTTGCCGATGATTCATGAGAAAGTATTTTCGACGTTAGTTTTATTCCTTGCGGCTCGAAAAAAATTAAACTTAGATATTGAGATACCTTTATTCCAATTTTGAGGATCTAACAACTCTTCTTCAAGGGTGATATCAGCTCCAACTCTAAAGGAACTGAAGCTTGGTGAATTATGTTTTGGAGTTATTTTATGGCAGAGAAAATCTGTTCTATGAAATTTCGTATTCAAGTAAGTTGTTAGTTCTTCTGCTGTTAGTTCACGTTGAAAATGAGATGCATGTATCCACGTACGTTTGATGACAGGTACAGCGGAAAATTTGTCGTCATCGATATCAGCTGTTCCAACCACGTTAGGCTTGCTATGTGTATGTTTTTTGTTTTGGGGTTCAGCGACCTTAGTATTGCTTACTATTTTCTGGGAATTGTCATCGCTAGGTATTTTCTCTCTATTTCGGTTTTTGCCTGTTACCGTTTTTGCACGTATATTGTTTGTACTTTTTGCTGGCACTGATTTAGCTCGGATGTTTTCATTGTCTGTGGACTTGGTTTGAAACTGTGTATTACCCTCACTGCATGAATGATTAAATAAATTGATAAGCTGTATATTGCTTTCTCTCAAGATTGTTACTTCTTCTTTGAGTTCGGAGATTTGTTCTTGCAATCTGCAAGTATGCTTTTCAATTTGTTGCGATAATATTTCACCAAATTCATCACTTTTTAAGAATGAAAGTATGACATCCGAATGGTTTATTGTTCGATTGGTCATACTTAATGTTAAAAGTCTATTAACTGATAAAGTTCAAATATTTTAAAATTTTAAATTTGCACTAACTGAGCACACTATAGCTACACACGTCCGTCACCGACGAAGTCGATAAGTTCTAACATCTTCTAAATGAATTCATTAATTGATATTTACTAATTGTAACAGAGGATAGATAAGCAACAAAGGAATAGAAACATGGTAAAGACTGACCATATTATACGAGGTCTGTTCAGAAGGAATTAGGTACGCGCTAATGGAGATATTTAGTGATATGCGGTTGGCAGCATTGCGTTGGGAATAACCTCCTCTCTAATCACATGTTCTTGCACTGTTGATATCTCTTTTAGTTTTTATGATATTGTTATTTGAGTGCAACGTGTTCTAGTAATATAGTGTGCGATTTTCTGGAACAACGATGCAATGTAAAATTATTATGCGTGAAAATTTTCACAGGAACATTTCAACTTTTGAAACAAGCTTGCAGAGACTCTGGGTCGTACACAATGTTTACGAATCGATTTCACGATTTAAAAGTGGTCGTCAGTCAATTGAAGATAATCCTCGACCAGAAAGGCCTTCGACTTCAACTGACGACTTGTACGTTCTATTGCATAGGCCCGATTACATAAAGGACCTTGGAGTTACATTTGACCCCACATCATCTTTTACAAAACATAATTGCGTCATCTGCTTTCAAGAATATGGGGTTCATAATAAAGAATTCCAAAGGCTTTATCAGTATATCTACACTACGATTGCTCTGTACTACCTTTATTCGTTTTCTGCATGATCTATTACTTGAGCGTTTCAATATTCATGTCTATTGTCTTGAATATCTGTTTTTCAAGTAATGTTTTTGTATAAATAGTCCAATTAAATAAGCCTTTAAATCGAAATTTTGGTCAACTTGGCTGAATTTTTGATATGAGTTAGTTTAACGTATATTATAACAATAAGTGAGAGTAATTTTCTGTTCAACCCCCGGCCAAGGGTGAAAAAAGATAAAATAAAGGGGTTTTTCAAGATAACTCAAAAAGGGTAAGGGCTAGAAAAAAAGGTCATAAAAGTTGTAAAGCATACAATTCTACATAAAAATGGTCTCTTGACTTTTTCTTGTACTATTAAAATTAACAGAGTTACGGAGGCTAGAAGTTAAGGAAAGATTTCACAAATTTAAAAAATTCATAACAAACAGAAAAATGAATGAATTTTGTAATTTTTTTTCAATCTGCTCTAAAAAATGTAACTTTTCTTTTCAGAGAAATAGATATATTTTTTAATTTTTAATAAGAAAGTTATAACAAAATCAAATTTTTAATCGTTAATTTTAATGATTTAACAAAACTAAAACATTGTTTTTTCTATACTATTCGATTGATTATTTAAAATAATGAAAAGTTGCCTTTGAATTTTTTTTTACGTTGGTTTCTTAGACAGCTACAAATTTATTTACCATTTTATCTTCTGAATTTTATTTAGCTCCTACGACACTGCCAAGACAAAGACAAAAAATCACGTTCTCTTTGTCGCACCATGGTACCGAAGTCGTGGACAACTTAGTATGCCTATGGCAAAGATAGAATATTTCGTTCGCTATTGTTACTGCGCGTGCGTTAGTAAACGTGCGTTTCTTTGAATTATTGTAAGCTCAATATCCATTGGTAATTTCAAAAAGGTAAATATTAATAAGGACTAATATTTTTGTTGATTAAATTTTGTAAAAGCTCGATATTTTTACGCATTCTTGTCTATGTAAAACGTGGAAATTAATTTATTAATACTTGTAGACTTGTAGTTTGAATTGCATTAATAATAACTTAGTGATAACAATAACATAAATATATATCACATAATTTTTTGTTCAAAACATTAAGAAAACAAGAAATTTTCTTACAGGGAAACTACCCCAACCCGAACACTCCAATTTTCAAGATTTTTATATATGTTGTAGAACATAAAAGATTAAGAGACACGTATTTTTTTATCGACCAACTTAATTTTGTCAATTTGTTTACATAAATGATATTTTTAATTTTTTTTTGAGCAAATATAAATTTTTTATAAAAAAAGTTTGCAAAAAAACATTTTTTCCGAAATAATAAATAACGGTTGCAACCCCCAAACACGGAATCACTTGGGAAACATGTTTTTTTTTATAAGAAGTTTTTATAAGAATTTCCATTTTGTTTCATTCCAAAATATTGATTAGAACCCGAGTTATCACGGAAATATTATTTTTGGGGGTGAACACGAAGGGTAGTTTGTATCCGTTTTAGGCTAAAAGAAAAAAATATTCGTATGGTTAGAGAAAAATCATTTTTTTTTTATTTTACAATGTTAATTCTAATCGTACAGGCATTTTTCTCAATAAGGGGTTGTTCACCCCCTAAACAGAAATTTTAACGAAAACCCCGAAACAGTTCAATTTAATGTTGTCAACTTGTTTACATAAACCATATTTTTAACTCTCTTTGAGTAAATATGAATTTTTTATAAAAAAATATAGTTTTTCTGAAATAAAAAATAAGGATAGCAACCCCCAAACACGGAATCACTTCCGAAATATTTGTTTTTATAATAAGTAATTTCCATTTTGTTTCATTTCAAAATATTGATTCGAACCCCAGATATTTAGAAAGAACTGTTTTGAGTTTGAACTTTGAGCGTGTATTTCACCCCATAAAAATGTTTTTCCGCCGATAAAAAATACGTGTCTTTTAATCTTTTATGTTCAACATTATATGTACATATAAAAATTTTAAAAATCGGAGTAGTGTTCGGGTTGGGGTAGTTTCCTTGTAAGAAAATTTCTTGTTTTCCTAATGTTTTGGACAAAAAATTATATGATATATATTTATGTTATTGTTATCACTATGTTATTATTAATACAATTCAAACTACAAGTCTACAAGTAGGTATTAATAAATAAATTTCCACGTTTTACATAGACAAGAATGCGTAAAAATATCGAGCTTTTACAAATTTTAATCAACAAAAATATTAGTCATTAATATTTACCTTTTTGAAATTAACAATGGATATTGAGCTTAGAACTTAGAATAATTCAAAGAAACACACGTTTACTAACGCACGCGCATTGACAATAGCGAACGAAATAATCTATCTTTGTCATAGGCATTCTAAGTTGTCCACGACTTCGGTACCGTGGTGCGACAAAGCAAACGTGATATTTTTGTCTTTGTCTTGGCAGTGTCGTAGGAGCTAAATAAAATTCAGAAAATAAAAAGGTAAATAAATTTGTAAAAATTAAAAAATATATCTATATCTCTGAAAAGAAAAGTTACATTTTTTAGAGCAGATTGAAAAAAAAAATTACAAAATTCATTCATTTTTCTGTTATGATTTTTTTAAATTTCTTAAATCTTCCCTTAACTTCTAGCCTCCCTAACTCTGTTATTTTAATAGTACAAGAAAAAATCAAGAGGCCATTTTTATGTAGAATTGTATACTTTACAACTTCGATGAAAAACTTTTTTTCTAACCCTTACCCGTTTTGAGTTATCTTGAAAAAACCCTTTATTTTATCTTTTTTCACCCTTGGCCGGGGGTTGAACAAAAAATTACTCTCACTTATTGTTATAATATACCTTAAACTAACTCATATAAAAAATTCAGCCAACTTGACCAAAATTTCGATTTAAAGGCTTGTTTAGTTTAATTGGACTAAAAATTCTACATAACATTTTGGACTGTCCAGGCGTTTTAAGTAGGTAATATTAATATAAAAAGTACCACGACTATCAGCTAGAAGTAATAATGTTTTTAGTCTACCCGCGTAGTAACTAGTAACATCCTAGTAGCATCACCATTGTATCAAATTGTTTCCAAGTACAATGATATAGAAAATAATATCGATCTTTTTTGTTGTTTGGCTAATGATATAAAAAATGATTTACTTATGTAGTCATATCTGTCTTTTATAATTTGTTGCCTTTTTATTTTTTTCTTTATATTTGTGTTATTTGTAAGTTTTACTATTCTTATTTTTTTTCTCTATTTTCATAGTTAATTTTTCTGTTATTGGGCATCGCCTGTTGGATGTGTATTTTAAATAAATAAATAAACGACTACATATCTGAATTCCCCACATAAAAAACAATGCCTAGGAAATCACTTTCTTCCGATTTCGATTAAAAAAAATTAAATTGAAAGTCAAAATTTTTAGTTTTTTGCCAACAATTTTAAAGCAAAAATAGATAGGTCAAATTTCCCTTCGGCAAGTTACTCGCCATCAAATTCCGCCCTATACGTTGACCTAATTAACGGACTTTTTATCTCTTAACGATAGTCCAACAGTGTGGTTCGAAAATCGTATATTATTAATGATAAAATCAAATAAACCGTTACCTACCATCTGATCCAGCAGTTCCCGTCTGTATTCTAAAATCTTTTTCCATTGCTCTTTTTTCTTTTCTTCCTCGTATTTCTTGGTGACTTCGTCAATTTTATATTTATTTAACATTTCCCATTTTCTAATTTCCGCTTCCTTCTTTAGCTCAGCTTCTTTGCGATTCAGATAATGTTTCCTGTCTTCTAATCGCTCGATTCTCAGTTTTTCATTGTATTCGGCTTTGATCTTAATTTTAGCTTCCTCACTAAATATAAAACCAGTATACATAAGTGTAATCCACGATTGAACCTTTTATTTGTCAATTTACAAGAAAATATCAACTTTTATGTTAAACGCTACTATTTTTTTATACTATATAGGAAAACTTCAAAATTTCAAGGTGGTCAATATGAATTATTTTGCAAAAAGATATTATCTCGTTTCATACCAGACACACTTGCGACTTTCTTAATAATTATTCCATGCCTAATTAAAATTTATTAATATCAGATCGGCACTTGTATGTACTATTACTTTAGAATCCCGAATGTTTCACAAAATTGATCTGACTGTAGGAAATATCAAGAAAAAAGTGTCAAACGATGTAATACGGAGTAATATTCAGAATAACTCTAGAACGCAATGATATTTTAATAGTATAATAAGAAAACGCAGTAAAGTTATGTGACCTCGCTGACGTCCTGATCTGAAATCAATGGAATTTATTTAGAGCTTTATATTGCTCTGTTGCATTATTTTTCACAAAAATTACTTCATTTTATGCATTTATGCATTTAGTATATGTGATTCTTTTACATATACTTAGAGCTGTGGTGCAAATATGGAATTATTATAAAAAATCTTCTGTTATTTCAAGGTCATTTGACCCTGTATAACCAATACTCTTACATTGCATCTCGTTCTGCAATAGCCGCCTCTAATTGTCGTTCTTCAGCTTCAGTTTTAGATTTTTCCACCGCGCCTACTAAATTGGCCACTATTTGTCTTCTGTTAATTATGTCATTTTGTATCTGAAAGGAATTTATTGTAATAAATAGGAACGAGTTTTTAATCATTTAATTTAGGTTACAACCAGTTTCTAATTAGGGCAAAAATAATTACATAAAAATAAACATTACACTTTCAAGACAGGGATTTGTTTAATTAGTTTTTATCGTTTTTTTTATAGGTAGCAAAACAGCTAATAAATCTGAGAAAAGACAAAACGCAGGATTATTCGTAATGAACCTCAGAGGAATAAGTAAACTATTCCTCTGAGCTAGGAACCCTAACATATTTTTAGAAGCTAGATGGTGTAAACGTTTTTTTTTGTTTCTCTTGAAAGTGTTTTGTGCCATTTACACGAAATTTGGTATGCTATATTTGTATACCGAAGTCACTTTTTAACAGTTAGTAACTAAATTACTTGCTTTACAGAACAGGGAAAATACCCTCAATCTAAACAAACGCTCATATTTTTTGGCAGGTGACCATTTCATTTATGAATATATCGATAATTAATAAATACGTAGGTATATGACAATAAGAAAACCGAATAGAATTGTCTGTACCTCTTTTTCCTTCTCCTTCTTCAAACAATCTATTCTATGCTTTGCTTCTTTGTAAATCTCAGCCACTTCGTCCATTTCTTTGTCCTCCTGTTTTAATTGCATCTCCAGTTCCAATCTTTTCATCATATTCTTCTCCATTTCAGCAGCAAGTTCCTTTTTCTGTTTCATTTTCTACAAATTATAAATTACCTAGTAGTAAACGTAAGTGTTGTCTGTATGCAGCGTGTGACAAAAAATTTCATGTTATTTCTTGGAAAATTTTAAGAAAAAAAGTTTGTTTCGATATTTTTAGAAATATTTCGAGTTATTATTTTTTTAGTTTAAAATAACAGTTGATTAAATTAACGATAACACGGAAAAGGACTATAAGATTTTTTATCATAAAAACTATTTTAAATACAGTGCCGTCACCAAATGGAAAAAAAAATGTTGTTTTAAAAATTCTTAATTTTCTATTTCAATGACTAACAAAAAGTATCGCAAAAAGTAGTTTCAGAATAACTGACGATTTATTTATTTATTTGGTAATATAAATTGTTCCCTTGAAAAGGGCTCATCTTCCGAATGGACTGGAAAAAAAACATTTTTCTTTAAAGTCTAATCGAATATGTCGATCGTATTTCCAATATACAGGGTTATCCAAAAGTCCCGGTACGGCAGATAAACTTTCGAAGAAAGCATTTTGGGAAAAAATGTTTCAGACAAAAATGGAAGGATTTTTTCTTGGCTATCTGATGGTGACCTTGGATTTGACCTTGACTTTGACCTTCAAGGTAATTTCAAGGCCAAGTTAAGTTTTTTAAATGGAAACCCCTATTTTTTATTGCGGATTTGGAAAGACCAGGAAATTTTATGTCCAAATTTGGTCTTGATCATGACTTTGACAATAACCTTTAAGGTCAAATATGGGTCGACTTCCAAAACTCCCGGTACGGCAGAATTTTCGTAGAACGCATTTTGAAAAAAAATGTTCCAGACAAAATTTTAAGGATTTTTCCCTGGCTATGTGATGGTGACCTTGGATTTGACCTTGACTTTGACCTTCAAGGTCATTTGTAAGTCAAATTAAGTTTTTTAAATATGAACCCCTATTTTTTATTGCGGATTTGGAAAGAGCAGGAAATTTTACATCCTAATATGGTTTTGGCTATGACTTTGGCAATGTCCTTCAAGGTCAAATGTAGGACAATGACCTTGAACGTCAAAGTCAAGGTCAAATCCAAGGTCACCATCAGAGAGCTAGGGAAAAATCCTTACACTTTTGTCTGAAATATTTTTTCCCAAAATGCATTCTTCGAAAGTTTTTCTGCCCTACCGGGACTTTTGGATAACCTTGTATGTATAATAGGGTTGTTGACCAAATTTCAAAAAGTAGATAATATAATTCTGCACGTACTAATTAGTGTGTATGCACAATTAGAGATTGAGAAATGCGTCGGAACAGTTTTAAAATAATTATTTAAAACTGATTTTTTTATAATATTTCAAAACGGCTGTGACGTCATAAGGGGCACCTTGTAGTGAAATTATGTGTAGATGATTGCGTAAAGGAAAAAAATTGGAGGAAGAAGATGCTCTGTCAACACTGTCAGTAGTGTCAGTCTGTCAGTGACATTGTCGCATAAAATATTTTCAAGTCTACAAGTTATTTTCCTTAATCTTCGAATTCCTTTATTAAGTAAAATTATTATTTAGTAATAATCATTTAATATCTTCCTTCCCTTAGAATTAAAGCAGAATGTGTGAAACGGAATTTGTGAAAGCTACTTCGCAAATTTTACCGAAAATTGATATTTTTATGATCATGAATTGAATTTTTAAAAAGAGACGACCGTTTTAATATTGGCGAAATCAGAGGTATAAAAGCATTCAGGTAAGGATTAACATATTTTATGAATGATTTTATTGTGTTTATTTAAAATATAAATACCTATTTACTTACGGAAAATTATAGTGCAGTTCGGGAGTCTTATGGAGATAATGCAATTGGCTATGTGGAATGTGGAATGTGGAACAAAACACCACTTAAATTTTGCTGAATACATTACAATCAGGAAATTAATAATAACTATCACAAATACTCTTAATTGATAGACTGCTGTCACTAGTGTCACTACTGTCACTTTTGTTCAAAAAAACAGGAAACAGGGTAACAGGGTTTGATGGACAATTTTGATATATTTTCTTCTTCTTCAAAATTATGCAATAGGATCGCTACTAGCTTCTTGTTCAATTGCCCGTTATGACGTCAGACTAGTTTTTAAGTAACACAAAAATTCATAAATGATTTCTACCACTAATTTTTCATATATTTAAAATTTGACTATACAGGCAGGTTCTTTTATATAAAATCTTTGTATCAACAACAATTTGTATATGGTTTGTTTTTATAGTCAACAACCCTATTGTGTACACGGTAACATAACATAACGTTCTACCTATTATCAATTTTTACCTTTCGATGAGGAAAAACTCGTAGAAAATTTTGTTGCAGCATCAAAGAAATACGGGTATAAAAAAAACAAACTTTTGTTTCAATGGAAAGTCCTGTCGCTTATTAGAATCGTATCCTTTTTCTAATTACAGTGATATACACATGTCATATATTTGCTGTAACAGTTTCCTCAATATTTTGGTTTATTTACTGACCCTAAACTATGGATAGTCAGATTATCATGTCACCAGTGGAGTATCTGGTATGTATAATGTATGCAGTGCATTTATAAAATTTTACATATATGCAGGTAATTTAATCGATAATGAGTTAAAATAAATTTATAGGAAGCAACTCGTAAGAAATTATGTATTACTTATATGATAACTTTAATGCTTGTACATTATTGTACTTCATTTGCAATTTAAAACAGGTATTCTGCATTTTAATGGTAGTAAAAAATTGTAACGAGAAATGCTGTGATTCCAAGAGGCCATTCTTCTATATATGTAACTTTGATCGACCACATCCTACTCATTGTAGAATGTCATTCTCTATCACCAGGTCTATTCATCGTAAATAATTGAAATACCTACTATGAAATAATAATTCAGATGGTACGTATTCATAATGTGAATAATATCGGAAATCCAAGCAATCCACTCCCAAAAATTTACTTTTCAGATTGGATGTGCTTCGTTCCGTATACAGAATGTTACTAACATAATCAAATTTTAATGAGGAATTCTGTGTCACAAAGTAACAAAAAAAAATATCAACATTGCGTCCACAAACGATTGGTTTTCGAGAAACCTACAATTACTATCTCATTGGCACAACTGCAAAACTTAAAGTACATCTACAGATTTAAAAAGTGACTACTTGCATCGACTTGAATTCGGTTACTACCTATTATAAAATTCAATTGCCAATACAGCTAATTTACTTATTGCCAAACTTCATTTGATAGGATTTTAAAAAAAATTGAATTTATTTGAATTACCTTCATTAATTAATACCTTTAAAACGTAAATACGAGAGCTGTTTTTTCGATAGGACTATTTTGATTTTATATAATTACCTCTTCTTCTTCCATTCTTTTGAAACATTCTACTTCCTCTACTGCTTTAATGTTGTCCTCGCTTTCTTTGATTATTTGTTTCTGTTTCGCAGTTTTTTCCTTCAAAGCCTTATCTTCAACGCTGGAAGTAAAAAAAAAATGTTTATTCTATAACATTATGTTGTAGCTATGCTAATTATTTTTTTCTCTAAATATCTAGGAATTATTGACGTAGCGTCTTAAATATGTTTTGTACTAAGAATAAATGGGGCATTTCTAATGATATTAAGTGAAAATAAATTCAATGTTGTGTTCACCTTTTGAAAAAATAAGCGGAATAAATATAATTTGCAATTAAAATTCTTGGTCAAATTTAATTGCAGATTATACGTCATAAATCAACGAAGAAAATTTTTTCATAAATTACAAGAAAATCACTGAAGCCATTTAATACAAATTTGGTATGAGGCGTTAATTCTGTTTATCCACAAATGTATATACATATCATAAGATCATTTACAGGCTTGGGAATAGTTTCAGATGGATTTATAGGTACGGGGTGGAATTTTATGCAGGAAATTTCGAGGGCAGATAGATCTCTTCAAAATAATATGTGTTTGCCTTATAAACATTGGTCTGGAACAGCCCCGTTTTAGAGATACAGGGTGTTGAAGTTGTTAAAAGAAATTTATTATTTTATTTATACATATCTCTCGAATTTATTAACCGATCGGAATAAAATTTAAAATAATGTATGATAGTAGGCCTTACATTCCCTAAAATATGAGCTTTAAAGGTTCAACCAGTGGTGTACAACTGGACAGGTGTCACCCCCTTTTTTTACAAAAAAAGCTAATTCTAATGCACAAAATACGTAAAAAAGGTGACTAACTTTTTTCCTCGCCGTTCTCAAGTTATTCATACCAATTCAATCCCCTTGTGGCACACACTTCTAACACAAGAATATTTTTATGTTTATGCTTAAAAGTAAGTGCAATTTGTAAGCACATCTACAAAATTATTTACATTTCCTCCTACACCACCTGTTGTAGTTCATTGAAAAGTTACATTTGGGGTTACAAAAGTCAGAGCACACAATTTTATTTTTTGGATGTCAAGAAGGGGTTAGTGTAAAGTTAAATCCATGTGTGTGGGGTCGTAACCCTTGTGCATCGGCCGCCATCTTGTAAAAAGGGCTGCGAATAGTTCTTATACTACTACTTACTATATCGGGCAAACTATTCGTCGCACAGAAAATTTGTAAATACATTTTTTGTTGCAAATTAAATTCTCTACAAATTGGGTCACGTAACTTTTAGTAATAGAAGCAAAAATAACAAAGATAAAAAAAAAAAGAGAAAAAAATGGGAAAAAAAATTCTCTTGGGCGCGACAAAACTTTTCTCGGCACATTACAAAAAAAAAACACAACAGAACATTTTGATAGAAGGGTTTTCAAGGAATAATTTCCATTACAAACTTTTTTCAAATTTTATTTATTTATTAGGGTTTTACAGCGATGCGAAACTTAAGTAAGTATACATTAATATGAATGATTAGGCATAGGAGGCGTCCTTCAAAGTTTTCTTCCAGTTGTGCTACCACGTGCGTGCGTGACGTATTCAATTGTAAAAAGTATTTTGAGTTTTGTGGACACTATTTTTAATTTTGTGGACAAGATGTGGGTTTCAGTGTCGACCAAGCAGAATCAGATGCAGATACCCTCATTGTTCGCTTCGCTCTTGCTGCATCCCAATCGTTCGACTCGTCACTACTGTCGCCGAAGATATCGACATTCTTGTTTTTCTCACGACATTTGGATGAACACATTCAAATGTATTTTTTTTAAAACCAGCGAAAGGACGTACAGCCGAACAATTATATTGTCCGTCAAGTTTTATGTATGGAGACGTCATTGTGGACAATCTGTTGTTTCTCCGTGCCTTCTCAGGATGTGACACGACTTCAGCAGCTTACAACATCGGTAAAATGAAATTTCTCACAACCCCGGAGACACGTCCTGAGTTAGCTAGTGGAACAGCGTTATTCCTCAATGAGAGAGTCGACCCTACTTTGCTCACTGCCGTTGGCGAACGCTTTTTCATCTCTTTATATGGTGGCAATAAAGATGATGATTCTCTTGACGGTCTTAGATATAAACGATTCGCCAAGTCAGTAACAAAGAATGCATTTAATTTATCTTCACTTCCTCCAACACAAGACACAGCCCGCTTGCACAGTCTCCGAGTCTATCAACAGGTCCAGTCGTGGCTATGGAATTACAACGACCCTCAAGACTGGGGTTGGAAAAAGTATGTACAAATATTGATGCCTGTTCAAAGTTCAAAACCTCCAGCACCCCCTGAGCTTCTAAAGTTGATATTCTGCCGATGCAAAGAAAACTGTGGAGCAATGTGTGGATGTCGGAAGGCAGGCCTCAAATGTTCTACAGCGTGCCTGAACTGTTCTGGGGAGACAAGCAGCAACATAATGGAGATATCAAAATTGATCGAGGAGAATGATTTTGAAGATGAACTACCAACAATGACGCCAATTCATTCTCCATCCTTCCTCAACAATTCAATATCGGAAGCTCAACCAGATCCTGAGTCGCAAGCCTGGCCCATCAAAGAGATTGAGGACACAGTAGATTGGGAAATATATTTCGATATTTTTAATTACACTAATACGACGTAAAAAAAAAACGCGCCACCAGACTCTACCTCGTAGGGAGTGGGGAAAAGAGTCAATAACTAATTAACAACATTGCAATGTCAATCATTAAAATGTTTCTTATAAAAATAATGGAAAGATGAGAGAAAGCTATGCCTAATCATTCATATTAATGTATACTTACTAGTACTGGAGAATAGTGTAGTAGAGAGAAGTTTCGCATCGCTGTAAAGCCCTAATAAATAAATAAAATTTGAAAAAAGTTTATAATGGAAATTATTCCTTGAAAACCCTTCTATCAAAATGCTCTGATGTAATTTGTTTGTAAAATGACCAGAAAAAAAGTTATAACGACCAAAAGAAAATTTGATCCCAAATTTTTATCTAACTTTGTTATTTTAGATTCTACGACTAAAAGTTACGGAACCAAAGTTGTAGGGAATTTAATATTTGCAACAAAAAATGTATTTACAAATTTTCTGTACGACGAATAGTTTGCCCGACATAATAAATAGTAGTATAAAAACCATTCGCAGCCCTTTTTACAAGATGGCGGCCGAAGCACAATGGTTGCGACCCCACAAATATGGATATAACTTTACACTAACCCCCTCTTGACATCCAAAAAATAAAATTGCGTGCTCTGACTTTTGCACGCTAAGTCCAAAAAAATGTAACATTTCAATGAACTACTGGTGTGTTCTAGTTTTTCCTGGAGGCCTAATACTCTTTACAAATAAGAACAATTTAAATCAAAATAATAATAAAAATATATTTACCAAGCAACAGCAACTAAACAAGAAACAAAATTAACTTACGTATTTACAACAATTGTTCAAAATGCGAACCACTTATATCGATACATTTCTCACATCTTCTATTAATGGAATTAATTGGATGATTAATTATCATGTGGTGTTGTATCTGTTGGAGTAGAATAAACTTTACTTTTCAGATAACCCCAAAAATAGAAGTCCAGGGTGCTTAGATATGGCAATCTGGCTGGCCAAGACACTGGACCCTCTGCACCATTATGGTTGACATTGGCATTTGGTCTTCTACCTATCCATCGCCCCATATAATTTTCATTAAGCCATTATATTATTCTCCCAGAATGCGTTGGAGCACCATCCATTGTATCCAGCTATTTTGTCGTATATTTAATGGAACATCCTCTAATATTTCATATAGATGGTTTTCTAGAAAGTTTAGAAATGACTGGGAATTTAGACGGGGTGGCAAGAAGAAAGGTCCACAAACTTTATTGCGAATTATTCCGAGCCACACGTTCACAGAAAATTCGTGTTGAAAAGTTCTTGTCCGAATTTCATGAGAATTTTGTTGTGACCAAATATGCAGATTGTGAAAATTCACTGCTCCTCGCCTTTGGTAAATGTACATTTATTATTATTTTGATTTAAGTTCTTATTTGTAAAGATAGTGAGTTAAGCTTCCAGGGGAAACTAAAACGTGTAAGTAATTCTAACTCACAGGTGGTATGGAAAGGAGTGTAAAGAATTTTGTTGATGCGCTTACAAATTCCACTTACTTTTAAGCATATACATAAATATTCTTGTATTAGAAATGTCTGCACAAAGGGATTGAATTAGTATAAATAATTTGAAAACGGCGAATCTTAGGGAAAAAATTCAAGTTACATTTTTTACGTATTTGGTGCATTAGAATATAAATTCGTTACAATAACTTGTAAAAAATGGAGTGGCGTAGATTTTTTTATAATAAAGGTACGAAATTTTATTGAGATCGATTAATAGATTTCTGAGATATAAACACTTCATCTCTAAAACGGGGCCGTTCCAGACCTTTGTTTATAAAGCAAACACATATTATTTTAATGAGATCTATCTGCCCTCGAAGTTTCCTGCATAAAATTCGGACTATCCTGCATATTTTTATTTCAAAATACTTCAAAAGTATGAACTTCTTATACAGGCTGACCGGAAACTAAACGGACAAACGATGATAGCAAATTCTATGGATTATTTCATATTGATTTGACATAAATCGTCTTATCCAAAAATGCTTCTTAAGAGAGGTAGGGCAGATCGCTGTTTATCTAGAAGCATCAAACTTAGGTTATGTGTCCGTACAATATTTGTTGAGATAGAATTCGAAGAAAATTATCGGAACAACCGTAACAACCTATCAAGGCAGGGGCGTACCTTGAAATTTTTCACCAACGTCTTTCTACCTTAGGTGTCGAATGGGACAAACTTTTACATCTACGCTCGAGATAATGCGATCGCTGATTGGTTGAATTTCTATTCAACCAATCAGTCTTGTGAAAAATTACAGAAAAATCAGTAGCCGGTGAGACAGAATGTTGTGTTTTGATGTAATCTTGGACTTATATTTTGATAATTTTAAATTTTGCCGAAATTTAATCGTCAACAAAATAAAGTTAACTGTTCCAACCAAAATAACTGATCCCGTGGCTTGTAGTCATTTATAAAATCTCTGTATAAGATCACAAATTACATTAAAATCATATAAGTGTTAATCTAATAAAAATAACTAATGGGATTCCGTAACAGAATGGAAACTTACACTTGTTGCAAATATGCACCATATTGTTTTTTCTTCTCTGCTAATTTTTGAGCTGCTTCTTTCTTTTCTTCGATTTCCTTCAAGGCATTTTCTTTATAAATTTTCGCAAAGTTTTCTTCGATCTCATCGTCGTGTTTCTTAAGGAATTCTTTAAAATCTTTCTGTTTCTCCCTCTCGTACAACACCTCGCTCGTCATAAAAGCGCTATTCAAGTTTTTGCAAACGCCAGAAGTTCTGAACATTTTCTTTTTTACATTCTCAATGTATTCCTTCCGCAGTTTTTCCTGTTCTTCCCTCATCATGTAGTACTTCTGCACCTTTTCTTCTTGTATTTCCTCGGTCGTTTTCGCTCTGGCCTTGTCTTTACTTTCTCTCATTTTCTATAAATCGAAATATCGCTATAACAGTAAAACTATTTCAAAATCAATAAGATGAAAACAAGAGGGATGGAGAACTGTATAGTACCGCAGAATTAACGGGATAGAGCAACTGTGAGTTTTGGACAAAGAATTACGATTTAATCAGAATTGCGAATCCACCGAAACAACGTAGGTTAACTTTCTGTGGATGTCGTTTATCGTAAGTTGCACTTTATTGCGGCGACGTAAAAACATACTGGTACAAATGTCAACAATTCTTCCTCACCAATGCAAAGAAAATTTGTGTTATGGTGTGTTGTGTGGCGTTATTTGTATTGCAAAATACTGATTGTATCCACCAAATCTTAATAGCCGAAATGTTGACCTATGAAAATCAAGTTGCCATTATAATATAAGATTTTTCTTTTTTCTTAATCTCCTCCTCGTTGGTTTTATTCACTTCTTACAATTGATTTCATAAATCTTAGTTAATTTTTCATGTTCGGATTCCAATAGAATTTAATTTCTTATAATTTTCTATTAAATTTATTATGAAAGTATTTCTCTCATGCCCGTTTGCACCGTTTAGAATTAAAGCCAAGTTCAACTGAACTTGGTTTAATTTTAAAACTAGGTTTTAATAATCAGCTTTTGCACCACTTACTGCCGATTGTAGATTAAGGGATTTTATTACGCTGCTAACTTACGTCCAGTTATGTTTGGAAAAGAATATGTCAAAATCAAATTCTCGAACCAAAATTTTAATATGAGTACCATCAATGTCACCTAACACTCTAGAAAATGATGCAATTTTATAGAACTCATTTTGCACACTAACTATTTCTTCTGGGTCTGACATTTTTATGTATCTCTGATAAAGCCGAGCTATTGCAATTGATACTCGTACAACTGTTGATATGTCCATCCCTGAAAAGTTTACAATAACAGACAAATGACCAGCACAAGCATAGAACCAATTGTTGGATAGGATATACACTATTATTCCCAGAAATACAAAATCATGTTAAGAATAACAGCTTTTTATAACTCCAAAATTCTGATTGCCAGTTGCATCGTGTTCATGTCGACGTGTTCGTAAAACTTACATATCACTTGGATATTTCAACTCCTCTTAAATTAAAGTTAGCAGATGTAATGTGGTCTCTTTTGTCAACTTAAATCTGCGGAAAAAAGTCATATTGTCTAGATTATGAAATAGATCATTTCTAATATACAGGGTGATTCAAAAAACCGCTAACAGACTTCTAGTGTAGATAATACATAAAAAATTAAGACAAAAAGTTTTAATAAACATAGGGTCACAAATGCCTCCTTAACGAGATACAGGGTGTCAAAGTTTTTGTAAAATAAAACATTGTCTGCAATAATTCCAAAATGCCTGAACATTTCTATTTCAAATTTGCTATGCGTAGTTAGCACCTTAAGACCAATGTTTGATGTACTGCTCAAAATTTTATGAGCAGCAGTGTCGTAGAGACGGGGTCAACGTGACCCTTTTTTAAAAATATTTTCTACGCCACTGCTAATTTTGTCAAACGGGCTCTATTTCCGTGTAAAGTGTTCAATTGTCTATCGAATTGGTCTCTTGCAAAATTTGGATTAAAGCAACTATTTTTAAGAGAAACACCTTTGTAGAAAATTTGTAAATCCAATTTTATTTTCATTCATTTTAGTTTCGCATAGTAGGCTTGTGCTATTCAAAATAAAATTAAACATCGCCTGTCACTAATGTCAATGTGTACAAGTGAGTTAAGTAAACTAGATTATAAGCTTCTTTTTGTCATTTTTACGCTTTAGTTTTACAGAAACTTTGACGCCCTGTATCTCGTTAAGGAGGCATTTGCGACCCTATGTTTATTATGACTTTTCGTCTTATTTTTTTTATGTATTACTTACCCTAGAAGTCTGTCAGCGGTTTTTTGAATCACTCTGTATATATTTGTCTGGGAAATCCAAAATCTATAATTTCGTGAATAGCAAAATCATCCAATACATTAGTCAGAATCTGAATCCATTTCAAAGTTCTTAATGATGTCTTAACACCACTCACTCATTCACAGTCCACAGGAAAAGCCTATTTAAAAAAATTATAACTAGCAGCTAAGTACTGTCAATAGTGTCAATTTATATTTTCTCATTAATCCAAATTTAAGAGATCAAATTTGAGGGTTTAAATTAATCCTAGATTAATACATAGATTTGAAACGGTGCAAACAAAATGTTATATTTTAATCCAAGTTCAGACTTAATCCTGGATTAAACACTACGGTGCAAAAAGGCATCAAAAACATTAATAAATTGTAATTTATACAGGGCGTTTCTGAAACAAGTGCGTTCCTTTAAAATGGCATGAAAATGAACAACTTTTATCAAGCAACTGATGGTCTAAATGCTTGTGATTTTGAGAAAATAAATTAAGAAAATTAACCATAAATGTAAGCAGACCTTGTGCATCTTGTGCACCTGCACGGCTAGAATGCTTCGGACTTGCTACATGCGTGAAGCACTTGTCTAATTGGCTGACGTTCCACGTGACTTTCAGAATCAAGCAAAGTTTGATTGTCGTTTGGAAACATATATTTATTAGCATATGGAAACAATTTTAGTAGAGCATATCGTCTGTTGGTAATTCGTTTATTGGTTTAATTTTTGTGTTACTTTTAAACGAAATTTTAATAAATTTTAGAATTTTCGAACACAAAATTTAAACGGCAACTTCGATATCAAAGGTACAGCTGGCTGACGCACCAGGGTCGGCTTTAAATTCGTTTTTAAACCTTCATGTCAAATTTTTTTTTCAAAGAAACACCTTGTATAGACAATAAAATTTCACATGATCAGATATTTTCTAGTTTAAAATTTCGAAATTTTGGAAATTTTAATTATAATTTTTCGAAATTGGGAAATTACATTTTAAAAATACAGGTACAATTTATTTTAAGAAATTTAAACAAATTTAATTCAATTCAAATATTTATAAAATTTGATCTAATATTTGAAAAATTTCAATGAGAAATTCCATGAAAATTGAGAACAATTAAAAAACAAACCTAAAAATACCAGGGGTTTTGATGGGATTCCAACCTATTTCATATTAAGTTAGGTTAGGTGCTGTAATCATAGGTATTAAACTATTTAATTATGATTACTTAAGGTTTGTCTAACTTTTTTTTGTTGTTTGAACTATTTTATACACTACATTTTTGAGTTTTTACATAACTACGATGAACAAGACTTTATAGTAGGAATAACACATCGTCAATAGACAGTTAGACGCACTAGAAATTAATTTGTCCATTTACCTCTAAGGTGTTATCCCATTTTTCCGTCATCGCTCTATTTCCCTCCGAAAGATACCTTCTTTTTTTCTCCTCTTTGTCCAAGAGTTCCTGTATGTCCTTTTTTCTGTCCAAGTGCTTTTCTATTTTGTGCCATTCTGTATCAGTTATGTGTAAGGCATGTGCTCGGTCTGAGATTTTCGTATTCTCCAAGGTTTGGTCAGGAAAGAGGAAGTATCTAGATTCCATATTAATATGTAGGTATATCTGTGTAAACTTCTGGAAATTATTTCAGGATACTGCGACTGTTATGGTTTTAGATTTAAAATTTGACATTATGATGTCAAAGTTAGATAAATCAATATTGTTTCCTGGGAAATTACCAAGTGATATTCGTTGTTTGGTACTATGGTAACGGTTTCCTTCGGCAGTTGATGTTACCCAAATTAAAGCACACAAAGTTTTTTTTGTAGGTTTGAAAAAAACTGTCAATGTAAACTAATAGTATAAAATTGTAATTCAAAATTTTGTGTACATTTATTTACAATTTCTTTGGGAAGTGAAATTAGTGGTCAGGATATACAGGGTGGTCCGAATTTTATGCAGGAAACTTCGAGGGTAGATAGATCTCTTTAAAATAATATGTGTTTGCCTTATAAACATAGGTCTAGAAGGGCCCCGTTTTAGAGATACAGGGTGTTGAGGTTTAAAAAAAATAGATTTTTTGTTTATATCGCACACTACCTCACAGGTGGTGTAGAAAGGAGTGTAAATAATTTTGTTGATGTGCTTACAAATTCCACTTCCTTTTAAACATTAACAAATATTCTTGTAATATTATCGTTAGAAGTGTCTGCCACAAGGGGATTGTATTGGTATGAATAACTTGAGAACGGCGAATCTTAGGGAAAAAAATAAAGTCACCTTTTTTACGTATTTTGTGCATTAAAATATAAATCAGTTACAATGACATGTAAAAAATGCAGTGGCGTAGGTTTTTTTGTAAAAAAGGGGGTGACCCCTGTCCAGTTGTACACCACTGGTTGAACCTTTAAAGCTTTCAGGGAATATAAGGCCTACTATTATACATTATATGTACCAACTTTTATTGAGATCGGTTAATAGATACCGGAGATATAAACAAAAAATCAATTTTTTTTGACTTCAACACCCTGTATCTCTAAAACGGTGCCGTTTCAGACCTATGTTGATAAGGCAAACACATATTATTTTAAAGAGATCGATCTGCCCTCGAAGTTTCCTGCATAAAATTCGGACCACCCTGTATATTTTCTTTCAATTTGGTAAGTCCTTAAGCATAAACTAAATTTTATTTAAAAAATTTGACTTAATTTACTTTCTTTGAGAATTACTCCAGCAAAATGTCATAGGAGTTATTACTGTTCTGAATATTTCTAAATATACAAGGTTGTCGCATTTTTTTTATAAAACTACATATAGGAACAGGTAGTTTATACAAAAGATTGTCGTTAGGTATCAAAATAACAAGTTCCTGAAGGGATGTTTTATTGAGAATAATGAACCTTGAACTATGGATGTGAAGCGAAAGATATATTGAGACTATAAGAACCTCAGAAATTCGGTACCATTTTTGATAATTATCGAATTTCTACTACTTGTAACTTTTAGTGGTGCTTTAGGAAATATTTCTTTCATTTTATTCCAAAAACATACCATTTTCCAGTTATAAAGCAATCAATCTAAAATTACATTGGGACTACTAATTCTTTTTTTTTTGTTTTCTTTATACTGACGCACAATTTTTTTTCGTCAAACTAGATGGGTGGTGAAGTCATCAATATTTTTTCTTAAATGAGATTGTATAAATTTTATTGCACGTTTTGATTGATTTTTTTGTTCTCTTTCCAACCATGTAATATGTAAGATTTTGTAGAACGAAATTTTTGAGACAAAATGAGAAAACTTTCAGCCTTTGACTTTAGTTTACGGTGCTCGCTTTCTAAATCATATCAAATAGAAGGCGCTGTAAAAACAATTTTGCATACCGCTATCTGTCACATATCGGTTTGTTTATAATTGCTATGGAGTTTTAAATAAACAAAATATCTTCACTAATTCACTAATATAGACTGTTCCTTGTGAGGTACAGCTAAATCAAAAGTAAAAGTATAGTACGTACAGACCGACTCAAATAAGTTTGCGTCTGAGATAGCTCCAGCCACAAATGTGCAATGGATACGGAAAACGCTCCAGTGTATTTGTAAATCTTCGTTCGAGTGGAAAATTTGGTGCTATTGTGGGAGGACATCTAATGCGCAGACATGGCCAAATATTGATTGGGCAAGGGGGATCTGTACTGTGGTCTCTAAGATCACCTGATCTGAACTCTTTGGATTTCTGTGTTTGGGGCCACGTTAAAGATGTAGTGTACGACAAGGCTGAAGAATGCGAGCAGAGACTTGTAAATGCTTGTCGAGAATTTTAAAATGATCCAGGCGTGTTTGAAAGAATTCGAAGCTCAATGTAGCGACGAGTACAATAAGTAAGGCTGTTTTCTTGTTCATTAAAAACAACTTTTCTACCAAAGTATCTAATAACTTTTCTTATTGTTGTATTGGTCTCTTTTTCTAACTAGAATGACGTTTACACACAATCACACAATCAAAGCAGTGGTGACTGGTAACCACAAATTCTAAATTATTTTTCAAAGGGCTCGCTTGTTTCTAGTATTGTGTACTTAACTGTTTCAATTTGCGCTATTAATTGTGATATACCCAGTATATATATATTCTTACAAAGTAGGTACCTTTTAAAATAGTTGTTATTTTTAAGTCGCTTTTTAATTTAATACAATTTCTCATTTTTAGTAACTCTAAACAGGTTTTGATAATATACTCGTAATATGCCTATTATACGTCTTATTCCTTCTAGCTGAATGCGTTCTTTCTCAATCGCACGCAGCTCTGCCTGAGTTAGAAACTTTTTAAAATGTCTCTAAGATGTTTGATCTACAGTCGAATTCCAAAATAATAGGTAGTGATTTCATCTTTAATCCGGTTCACCATTTTTAGCAGTCAACACAAAGAGAAGTACGAGCCGGTTGTAAATTCTTCGTATAAAATTGTGAGTGCCGAATTCTCCCAGAACAGTCGATATTGCACAGTTTTAAGATATTCTTCTGCTGCGTTTGGCGTGCACCAGATATTCATCTGCTGCAGCAAATTCTAAACTTTCATTGGTGTTAGGTGCGTGACGTCAATTGGGTTGTGTTTATTCGGCACAGGCAAATGGGTGTACGCGCGGAAGAAGTCCGAGGATATTTTCCGTGTATTTAATTGTGATTGTAATTAATTTAGGTATTTGTGATTCTGGGTTTGTGTTCTTAAATTGGAGAGTAATTCAAGCTGGATGGTATTTTAAAAATGAGCTTCCGACAATAAAAAAATGTAGGCTGCTATCTCACGGGATCAAAATTTGCCTAGAATATTTAGAAGGGTGCTTTTGCGAACTACGTGTGACATGAATTTCCGTTTTATAAAACGAAGTATGCTGATAGAAAACGAGGAAATAGTGATATGGCAAAGAAACTATTTAAGACGGGTATTAGAAGCTCGTAAACTAAATGATAGAATGTATTACACAGACAAAATATGGATAAATGAAGGCCATACGGTAATAAAAGTGTGGCACGATGGTAATATCCAAAGCAAACGGCAGGCATTTCTGGAAGGATTCTCGTTAGATTAAAGTAAGCTTCTGGAAAAGGGCGGCGCCTAAAATAACGCATATTGGAAGTACAGCAGGATTTTTGGAACATGGTGTGTATATTGAGGGTGCAACTTTGAGTGGAGGTCTTATTTTTACAGAGGTTCTCTTTGACCATTAGGAACATGCATCAATAATGTATTTTTCCAAATTCCGTTGTGAACATTTATTTTTTTTCATTTTTTCGCAATTTTCTTACCCCACCGCTGGACAAGCTAGTGTAACTTCAAACTACGGCGCGCTTTAGTCGTAGAGCATGCAATAATTGCGAACTGGGCAGCAGTAACTTTTTCTTATTTTATGACCAGCTTATGCATTTTTTAAATATAAGGCATATACATTTATAGATAAAGATAAATTTGCCTGTAACTAACAATTATATTTCTAAGAGATTTTTTATACTAAGAATATTTCTTTGAAACACTATATTTGAAATACTATATGAGTTGTAGTCAGTCTTCATATTTATAAAATACTAAAAAATGTGGGATTCTAGTAGATACTTATTTATGTTCGAATTTATGCTTTTTGTGATTTTTTTAAATATCAACATCTTTTATCTTGAAAGGAAATCGTTTCAGGATATTTCATCATATAACTTTATTTATTTAGACGACCCAAATTCAATTCCAAATTTAAGCTTGGTAAATTAATCCAGAAATGTCCTACATATTTATATGCATTAAATTAAAAAAAAAATTTTTTTCTTTTCAGTACAATACTTATAGGTATAAAACTTTTTTGTCTAAAAAATTTCAAGTGAAACATATCGATCCCTCCCTGAACCATTTTAAAGTAACCCATTACTTCTGGGTATGACAACTGGTCGGACAGCATGCAAACGTAGTAGGCGGCGGAGACAGGTCATTCAAGACTGAGATAAGAGGTCCAAGTATTTGATCACTTTATATTCAGAGTGCTAAATTCATATTCAATCGGAATGTCGAGTTGTTTACTTTTATTGGTTTTTACAGTTGCAGAACTACTTTGTGTTACAATGTATGTTGTGAATAAAGAAGATCATACCTCCGCATTGTCACCCATCCCGAGTATCGGATATCCATTAACTACACAATAGGGGTTTTATAAACAAATAATAAAAACACAAAGTATTTATTTGTAGCAGCAAACTGCAATTCTGTATATTTTTAAAGAGATATGTCAAATATTTAATTAATTATTAAATTATGAATCTAACCTAATTTTTATCTTTAACCCCTCCCTACCGTGAGGGGTATAAAATGTATCCCACGGTTAGAAGCTGCTCTTTGTCTTTAATTCGCTTTGCAGGATGTCCCTTAATTAGACAGCCAAAGTTCTATAGCACGTTGCTTGGTAAAAATTAGCACGACATTCAAATAAAGTTGTGGTCGATTCCACCTATTTACGAAGATATAACAACTTGAGAATGAGAATAAACTAAGTTTTATTTGCACATTTTTATCAGTTCAAATATCTGTACCAAATTAGGCAAACGTTTATTTCATCAGCATCAAAAATGGGTTGCTGAAAATGTACTTTTTCAAAACCGACTTGGTGACAATGTCTTTTTTTGTTTCTTAAAAAACATACCTTTAGATCCTTTAATATTAAAGAGTAGTGGTACTTACAAGAATCCTTTTTGTCCTCAATTTTCCATCTGGAAAATGGCGTTTAAAATAAAATACATATTGAATCATACATATGAAACATTTCTACAATTATTATTGATACAAAAGAAATACATATTAACAAAGAACCGTTATAATCGTGCGTTGGGCGGCGTATCGAATATACTGTTTAAAGGCAGCTGATGGGCGATGGCGATGCTACTTCAATTTCCTCGTCACTCGTTCCCCCACGCCGTAGTTTACTTACGTGTTGGCCGCCTCGTTGCCATGACAACCGCCGGAAACAACGCCACGAAGTGAAGCGGAATACAAACTGATATTTCGATCCGCGTCACTTGCTTATGTTATACGTTGTATGGTACTACGAGGCTGATACTTGCGCTCAACGAAGGTAATGTTTTTTTAGAAGGCGTTCACCGTGCAACTATTCTGTTTATTTTTGCGTATAAAACAAAAAAACACAATACATTTTCAATATATGTAGAATTATACCTAAATTATAAAATATACGTATAATTTAAATTGCACAACCAAACGGAAGTTTTAGGTGAAGCGGTGCGTCACTTGCGTCACTTGCCGCCACTGGTACTTTTGAGAATTTTTGCTAAAGAACAGAATTTTCGACTAAAATTAAAAAAACATGACATCATGTATCTATTAGTTATTAGATAACATATTAAAAAGCTATGATGTTAGTTTTCACATACAAATAAATGTTTCTATACACCAAACATGACTATATTAAGACCTCCACGAGTTGCAGATACTCGTGCAAATGGAAGAAAAATTTACAAAAAAAAAACAACAAAATTAACTGTATTAGGTACACTACATATTTAACTTTTAATGCACGCTAATGAATACAAACTAATTAATGAATAACATCTTAACTATTTAAAGTACAATGGTCTTTCGGATTGTTATGCCGTATCCTTTGTACCTGGTCGCCAACAGTCACAGAATTATCTTTTAATCCCTTAGCCTTAGCTAGGAATTTTTGACTTGCCCTGGTTGTTCTCGGCCTAGGCTCTGTGGAGAAGGACTCTATCAGAACCCCTAACCCAGCCCTGATATTCATTTCGGTTCTTGCTTCTTGTTCTAAGTCTCCTGCAGACGGAACTGCACCACAGACAATAGTTAGTGTTAAATACAGTGGATGCATTACAATACTTTAGCATATTTTTAGAAATTTTTGCAGGAATCGTTCTTATTGTTTGATTTATTTTATTTATTAGTTCCTTTAAATGAAAAACGCTAAATTTAGTAGAATCTGCGCTGTCCGTCCATTACAGTACACACAACGATTGCCATGATAAACAACTAAGCAATATCTGTCATCAGGAACTGTCATTTAAGATTTGAAATATTAGTTAGTGTTTGCAAAAAAATATCCAAAAAAGTATTCAAGCCTTTCTTATCAGAAGAACCCATTCAACTGAGATTTTAAGAAAAACTATACACTACCGATTTTCAACAAATATACCTACCTTTTTATGTAGAAATTGTAGAATGGTCCACGGAATCTAAAAATGAATCCCAAATGATTATTAGTCATTGAGGCAGAAATTGTGGTAAAAAAATCCCGCTTTTCTACCCATTCCTACGCCACTGACCTACAATTTTTTTTTTAAATTTTACGGTACATTATGCACATGTGTAAATGTTAACACCACACTAAATTTATAAGCATACCAAAGATTTAAAAAATAATATGATTTTAAAAACCGACCAATTCGGTCCTGTAAAATGAAAACGGTGAGACTTAGACCTTTGCTTTCTAAGGCACTTCTGAATTATTTATGGAGTTCTATTTGTGGTTAAAGTTTGATTCACCCGAACTGAAACAAACACTCTGTATATTTGGGAAATCGGAGAAAACCCCATAAGTTGTCGAATTTGACCTACCCTGTACACGTACCCGCCAAATCCGTTACCTTTCTTTTAGTAATAAAAAATGTAGAAGAAATAAGATAAGTCGATTTTCATTTGCTTGCAATATAACCAAATCTGTATCTCTTTTAATTTCGGAAACCTTAGTAGTATGTACTTTAACAGTGTCCACGGGGTGTTTAGTTCGTCATGAAATATCCTATATACTTATTTCTATTATTATTGAGATTGTGTTTCAAATAACTTCTCCAGTAGCCCGGACCTACTTAGCGAATCAGCGGGCAGCTTTTCGAGCCGCCCGATGCTCCAAGGAGTCGAACACGAGAGCTGAGTCAGTTTCAGTTTGGTTAAAGACGTCGGGATGGGAGTGTCTTGCTTCTCGCTGTGACCGCTCAGGCACGTGCTCGTCAACATGTCAAAAAAGACTTTAGTTGGTGCCATTTTTTATGTTGGTGTTTGTTGGGTGCTAGTTAGTTTTCTTTTTGTACAAGGGATTAATGCTCAAGGTAATTTTTTTTTCAAACACAAACAGTTTTTTTTTGCGAACTGCAAGTAATTTTTCTACTGCAAAATAATGAAAATGAAATATTTTTATTATTATATTGAAATGTAATCTGTAGCTAGATGTGTAAAGTAACTTTTTCATGAATTATTTATTTGTTTATTTGTTTTTTCAATGTTTTATGGATTATAGGTATCTGTCAATGGGCTAAGTGATATTACATAATTTATTTTCGCATTCTCTACTGTTAACTATATACCTACCTATTTGGCTGATATGTTGTTATTATTCGCTATTTTACATAAACAAATGTTTATGATAGTATAATTTTTATATATAAAATATACTGATACTAATTACTAATTATAATAATTATAAACCATACCTATATTGATTTTAAAACCGACCAGATTTTTTCTTACTGCGTAGATGTCAAACATTCTCTTAAATTTTTATTGCGATATACTGGTATTTAGCAGAGGATTTTATTGTTCTTGTTTTTACCTCTAAAACCAAGACTGACGTTTTTATTTGAAAATGTGTAAAATATGATTCTCTAACGGCGAGCAGTATGATAGTTACACGGTATTTACTTTTTTTTTGAAAGTAGGTACTTTTCACTTCTTACTTTTCGTTCTACATAATTAGAAAAGTGAAGAATAATTTTGTTTTATAAAAAGTGCCTTTTACATTAATGTTAAGCGTTTTATGAAGCTTTATCTTGTCAATTTTCATTCTACACCTTCAATGTACATATAAAATTGTTTTTTAAACATTAATTTTGGAAACTGCAAAGTAGATGAATGTAAAGTTTCCACTTTACTTCCAGTTGGAGAAATTTTCCAATTTCTTGAGTTTCTCTTTTTTGAAAAATAGTACCTTATGTCAATATCTTATTTACCTTTCAACTCTGTACAATATTGTATAAAGAATATTGTTTATTTCCAAATGATAAATTTAAATGATTTTTAATTAAGTATATATTGGAACCGGCTCTAGCTACCTTGCATTCAAAGTAATTTGCTTGCTGGAACATTTTTGGTTTAACGAATCATAATCAGACTAAAGAAGAAGACGATGAACAACTTATAAAAGGAAGAATTCTGCAGAGAATAAATTTTGAAGATGTGAATGATTCTCTCTTAAATAGGCATGTACAGGATGTATCTAAAATACTTAACCAAATTTTAAAGTCGGATTCTATGTTAAGTCAACAAAGAGTTGTTGTAAACAAATGTGTGGAAAGTATTCATTTTCGAGATAGAGGAGTAGGACTTGTCAGTTAATTGTTTCGATAAGACGCAATCTTATTTCCTTACAATAGCAACAGTGACAACTAATATAACATTAATTTAAAGTTTACAGCTTAACCTGTACTAAGATAAGTATGTGTATCAAATGACTCCAAAGTTGATAAGAAAATTACTTTTACTTTTTGTCACATTTACTTTTCCAGATGAGATTTTGAAAGTATTGTAGATTCGTTAAGAAACTAAATTACTCTTCACTTTTCGCTTTTCGGCACCTAATTGAAAACTGAAAAGGAGAAAGTGCAGACTAGGTCCTTAATAAAAGAGAAAAACTTTGTATTCTACTTTTCACTTTGTACTCTTCACTTTTCAACTTTTCGCTCTCATTTCTAAACCATAAAAATCATAAAACAGAAAATAACCCAAAATGTGAAAACTTAAAAAACAGGACCAGGAGCAAAGCTTCAATGGTTTTATAAAAATAATAATAATTAGCTATTCCGTATGTGAATTTAAAAAATACACTATTTTTCAAATATCTCATATAAATATGTTAACTAGTGGCGGAGATACCGTGAGACACTGTTCTGTCATCCATTGACAACCCCAGAATTTCTATGCTACTAATTTTTCTTGGAAATTCATTTTAAGAAAAATATATCTTTCAAAAACGAGTCAAAATTCCAAAAAAGTTTTGGGAGTTGTGCTCCCTATGCTATTCTTCAAATTAAATTTTTGGACTTTTGGCGAGTGGAATACATTTAAGTATAATTAATTGCATTTTAAAATGAAAATTCCTGTTAATATTTTTTTGAAACGAATATTTTTTAGTTTTTAAATTTCGTCAACTATATATCAAGCTAATTTTGAGATTAAAAAATAGCTCGAAAATGTCGATTTTTGAATAAAATAATAGATATTTTTTTATGTACAATACAATTACAATTCTTTTGTTTTTAGTGTCCGAATGTTTGCCTTTAATTATAGTAATTAAACCGCTCAAGTTTTGTCAATCTATATTAAGCAGCGTTAGAGATATTAAAAACATGTGATATATTCTTTTTAATTTAGCACTCTACATACTTTCAAAATGAGGCTTTAGATTCCTCGTTTATTAATACTTTTAGCCAAAAAAAGAATCGAGGGAAACTTATGTTAAGTGATAGGGGCTTAAAAAAACACCCTGTAAATAAGTAAAAAAAAAACCTGTCACATTCTAATTAAATATTTTGATTGCAAAAATTATTAAAACGATCCCATAACTGATTCATATTTTATAAGGAAAGATTTATTTAAACTGTTTTAAATATTTACATTTCAATTTCCTTAAAGGAAGAATGAAAATTATAAACAATTACTAAAGTACAATCAGAAAAAAGTTGTTTGGTAAATTTAGTGATTTTGTATTTCCATTAGTAACGAAGTTAACAACTCGGCTTAATTTGAAACACCCTGAATGTTTGTCTAAATTAGAATTTTTTTTAATGTACCTATTCACCAAGTTGAGAAAATGTATCACTTTTTAATAAAAATAGTAATAATTTTCACATTGAATTAGTTTATAGAACAGTTTTTCTCTACAATCCATCTAGGTACTGCTTTTACAATAAGCCAACTACTACCTAGCCAATACGTGTACATTTTTTGTTTGTAGAAGATATTTTATAGATGTATCTACTTTAAATTCACTGTTATTAAAAACTAATTTTGCACAATGAATTTTTAAGTCATTATCCCAAAGATTAAAAAATGTCCAAATTATTATTACATGAGTCACGCTGTATATGTGTATGTAATTATAAATAATAATTAAGAATGCTCCTGATAAGCAGTTAAAATGGTCGGTTAAATTGCCTTAATTGATGAATGGGTTTAATAAATATAAATTTTAATTGCTACAAGCATTTGGCTTAACGTGAATGCCAAAGGATGTTTGCAGCGGTGGAAAAAAGTTATTCCAGTTTTTAATGTTTTTCATAACTTTTTCATTCGGTTACCACATATTTCTAACTGTAATATATAAACTTCTTATGCACAATACTTATTTAATCATAACTAATTATCATTATCATAAAACTATGTTAATAAAATTTTTTATTTAAGTTTCGCCAGTTTTCTTCTCTTTTCGAAAAATAAAAAATCAAGTATTCTTAATCGAAGACAATTCATTTAGAAATTTTCTTTACATTTCAAATTAATACCTATTTAGAAAACAATTGATTAATTATTCTTTTGAAATTCAAAACTCTTGTTTAAAAAAAAGATAACTATATGTTCGTTTTTTTATTTTAATTGTTTTTCTAGATATTGTAATGTGTAATGTATTTCAAATTTAAATTACTGCCCGACTTTTAAATTAACCGCTTTCACTTAAAAATATATTTTTTACAGGAAAAACTATGTTATCATTTATTGAATAAATTGAGAGAATTTTGGAATTTTTGCGGTGAAAAATTAGAAGTTACCTTCTAAAACTATCCCTTTTTTTTCTGTTAATTCTATCAATATCAAATTCCATTCCAATCAACCTAAAGTTGTGCTGATAATTCAGTCACTCTGTATATTATATCCATAGGTATTTTATATTTTATACTTAAATGCGTTTGGTATTTATATCTACGTAATTCATTTTAATACCTCCTTAAAATAATAGATTGTCGTGTTTGTCAGCCATTCTTCGTAAATATAAATATTTGTATACAACTGCCTTTCCTTTTAGCAAAAAAATTATGTACGTAATATTTTGGGGATGACTGGTATTATAACAATTTGCATGTTGCTTATTTCTGGCAATTTATAAATTGGTTACGATGATTATTTATGATAATAAGTTGATAATCAGAATTTGTATGATTCGTCCTGCTTTGTAAATTTGGACACCCAGTATATTGTAAATCTGATTTTTATTTCAAATTCAGGAAAGAATAAATTCTAGTTATATATTTATGTAGCTACGGAGACAAAGAACTAAATAATAGTATTAAAATTTGGATACCACATTGCTTCCGAAATGATTATCTGTTTTATACATATAAATTACAGTTTTAATTAATTTTTATTTCAGCCGCTGAAATAGAAAGTTACCTGTTTTATTAGGTATGCTTTAGCAGGACCAGTTCTGTAAGAGATGAAGATAAAGGTGTATTCTTTTATTTTACTTTCGCTTAAGCTTAATTTTACATTATATTTTACATATACAAGATGTCCCACGAAGAACACAGTTTAAGGAGGGTAAGGGGGTAAAGATAACCAAAAAAGCTTATATATTCCGAGATTCGAAAGTGCACCTTTTTGGAAGTATGGGCCTTCGAACTAATTGAAAAAAAAATTATACATTTTCCTTGTATATATGTAGAAGATGGACATTTAATAGGAAATTATAACGTGTGGAGATACATAAACATATTCATCTGGAATTTTTAGCATTTCTAATAAACATCAAATATATAAAACTCTTTTTATTATTAATAAATTATTTTAAAGTTAATAAGATATTATCCTTTTTCTCTTAAATAGAGATTACAAATTTTTTTGTAGTTAATTTTTCGAAATTTTTCTAAATTTTTATTTATTTACAATTTCTTTTACTTTTTGCGAATCAAGGTGTAAATACTCAGTACTGAATAAAAAAATACTAACGAAAACAATTATTATCCTTACACACTTGTTTTTTTTTTTAATAAATAATACTTGTAACTTAAAATGTAAAAAAATATCTTATTCATGTATGTGTCTAGATAAAAATCTCTGTTTA